GTAATTATGTGTCTTAGTTTATCAATATAAACAATTTGACTTTAATCACTATTTATTCACGAATGAAGCTAAATTGGTTCAAGATTCTACAAAGCACTCCAACCCAAATTATATGTATACTAGTAGCTTAATCGGAATTAGACTAGCTTGTGAATAGACTAAATCTGAACAGAACCTGAACATGTTTCAAAAGTTTGGCTTCAAACCAAACTCAAACTGCCTTTTTATATTGGTCCAGTTCAGGTTCAGTCCAAAATTCAAACTTAACTTTGAACTTATTCAAAGTCCAGTTCGGTTCAAGTCTGTAGAAAATTATAATACATCATATAATATATTATTATTATTGGACCATGTCCAATGTCCAATACTCTCTGGTCCAATAGATTGGACTGGATTGGACAAGAGTGGTCCAATGTCCAGGTCCAATGTCCAGACCCAACACTGATTATTATTATATATATATATATATATTTAAATCTTTAACAGTCTTGCCAGTGCTCAATTTATTGCAACTATATTCAGGTGAGAGCTAAGCTCTCTCAAACAATACAAATATCATTCATAACCACAAACAGGGAGTTACTGCGATAGCAAGCCTGACATCATCTGGCTGCAATAAACGTGCCCATATGTGACTTGTCGCACCAACCTGTATACAAGTTAAATAAACTTTGTCAGCCCGTCAAAGCTTTTCTCTTCATATCTCCTTTCTTTACTGAGAGCAAAAGAAAGTGATGATCTTATACAAAACCATCGATACTACCAAGAAAACAAAAAGAAGACCTAACTAAAAAACAAATAGAATGAATGAGTATTTTTAAAGGAAAAACAAAAGAGGGTACAATAAGATGTAAAAAAAAGAACCACAAAGAGAAAAGCCCAAGGGCTGACAAAGGGAAACTACCCAAAGGGGGAACTACCTCTATAAAGAAATAGCACAGGGAAAACAAAAAAAAACAAATCAAGAAACAAAATACACTATTATAACCTGTGCTAGGTTTAAGAAAAAATTTTATAACAACTGCAATGTTTGTATATCTCGATTACAATATAAGAACTTTAATATCTAACTACCAGCCACCTCTGGATGTCTCTTATACCAGAGACCCGATCCCAGTCACGTGGAGGACCCATATCCATAGATTATGTCATGTATTATATCTACTGATAAACAAGGCATGTGGTTGCATTCCTGGGTACGTTCGAATTTGGGAGGTAAACAATGCTGATCTTTTGGAGAGGGTAAGCTGAATCACCTACTTTTTGTCGAAAATTTTGAAGAAGACCAACAGGAACAAGAAAGACTTGAGGAAAAGACTACTAGCACCCAAAGAGAGTATTTTATCCTTGAAAAAAGCAATGACTAGTAACTCTTTTTCTAGGAAAGGAGAAGAGCTACTATACTTGCTCAACGGTAAGTGATAAACTCTGAACTTGTTGGCAAGTAGCATATGAAAACTACTTCTAAACGACAAGTGCCGAACCAGCAGTGAGTGATAAACTCTGAAGAAGTTAGCAGATAGCATATGAGAACTATCTCTAAATAACAACTGCCAACTTATAGATTCCAGTTTTGTGCTCTTCATTACTTACTAGTTACTGTTTTTACAAAAATTGTTTGGAAAATTTTAGTTTTAGTGATCGTCAGAAAGAGTTTATTATTATTATTATATATTATTATTATTATTAAAGATTATAATAAGATATTTAATCTTGCATCTATATAATAATATAACTTATAATATAAAACTGGCAATTAACTATATAAATATGATTGTCTATAGGTACAACTTACAGATATTTATAATTTTGTATCTGTAGAAAGCATAGCAGAAGTTTGGTTTAATTGGCTAAAATTTGAATAAATATGATTGGTAATGATAATTTATTTATACAGTCAATTGTAAATTTTAATAAAATATATATAACCTATTAATATCAACTTTGTTAATATCAACCTAAGCCAAAAACCAAATTTTTATAAATTTTAATATATCTAAATTCTCTCTTATATATCAACTTTAATATAAACCCTTATTAATATTACTATCAACATAATTTAGAATGGGTTCAAATGAGTTGATATTAACAAGAGTCATCTATACTTCTATCAGTAAAAATCAGCATGCCATATTAAATTTATTTTTGTAATATGTGACAAAACAACAAACTTAAACAATCTATTTTTTAGCTTTATTAAGATATAGAATAACTTAATACAATATTTACATATTATAATATATAGTTAAGATCTGTTAAAGAATTTTAAAACACTTGTTTTACTAAAAAGGAATTTAGGCACCTAGTATGATATTATATCTCTATTTTATTTAACTTTTAAACTCAAAGATAATATCAATATTAATAAGGATTTTAAAGTGAATTTGGTAAGAGAAAACATTGTTAGATAGTAAATAAATAGTAATAATAATAAAGTTGAGAGTGAAGAGAGATTAGAAAAAAGATAAATAGTAGTTTTAAAATAGTTGTTTATAATAGAAATAGAGTTTGAAAAGAAAATATAGTTATTTAAAATTTAAATAAAAAGAGATTCATCAATATCATCAATATTTGAAATTTGAATTTGAGTAGAAAAAAGATTATTAGTTATATTTGGAGTAGTAAATTTAAATTTTTAAGTAATAAAATTTTCTGCTTGCTGAAGATATATTTGTTTGAGATTTAGTTTTAGTTGAAAAATTGTTGGTTTTTTTAAAAATTGTATGATATCATAGTAAGCTATAGTTCTAGTCAGGATTTGTGAGTCAGCTAATAAGGTTGTAAGTTTATGTAGAGCTTCTATAAGATTAAGTCCTATAATTTTGTTATTATATACTGCTGCTTTTAAATAGGTCTTGAAATAGGAGTAAAAAAGAAAGAAATACGTTTAGAATTAGTTAGTGTTTGATTTAATTGAGTAAATTTCTGTTCTGTTTCATTTGCCAGATTAGAGTTTTTCAAAAAGAAAGGGTGTATTAAAAGTAGCTTTATAAGGCTAATTGGTTTGAAAAATAGAGAAGTTGAGATTTAGAAAAGTATAGTAAGTAACTGGTAATAATTGAAAAAATTGTTTAAAGTAAAAAGTAGTTAAATTATAGAGATTATGAGTAGTTCAGAGTTTAAGATTTTGCATTTTTTGTTGTTTGTATAGTTGTACAAATGATGTAGAGCTGCTTTGATAGAGGTTTGAGTTCATTCTTTTAAAGTAAAAACTTTAGGAAAGAGAAGTTGTTGAGGTAATAATTTTTTGTATTTACTATTAATTTGAGATGTGATTTGAAATTTAATATAGTTATAAACTTTTTTCTCATTAATATTATTGAATTGTATAGAGTAATGTTTGTAGAATTTGTTAAACCATGTATCAAATTGTGTAAGGAATAAAGAAAAGGAAGGGATATAGTAAGTATTTAAAAAATTTTTTAATAGGATATTAAGGGTTATATTAATATAAAATTTACAATTGTTTTTAATTTGAAAAGAAGGTAAATTTCTTGATTATGTTTTATATGAAAGTGTATTTGTAATTTAAAAGGTTTAAGATTTAAATCTTGAAAAAAATTTTTGTAATCAATAGTTAATATTTGTTTTGTAAAAAGAGATACAATCTTGCTAAATTTATAGCAATTTGAAACCATTTGTTAATTGAATATGGAGGTAAAAAATATCAGAAATTAAAGAAGTTTTTGTAATTTTGAGATTTAAAAATACATTTAGTAAGGCCAAGTAGTAGTGCTTCAAGTGTAGAGTATAGTATTTGAGGTGGTATTAAATTTTGATTGTTTATAGAGGAGTTTTGTTTTAAAATAAAATTAATAATGAATTTGGGTTTTTCTTTTTTTATAGTTATAAGTAAGTTATTTTTGTAAATAGGTTGATTGGTTGAATTGGATTAATTGGAAGTTAAAAATTTAATTGTTGAGCCAGAATAAAAATCTTCAAATATTGGTTTTAAGTAATTGAAAGTTTGAAGACCAAATGAAGTTAAAGTAGTATATAATATTTGATTTGTAGGAATAGAATATTGTTCAAACCAGTTTAAGAGTAGTAAAGATTGTAAAATTAGTATATTTAATAGATGTAAGTTTTGTTGTTCTATTTGTATATAAAAGAATTAATAGTTAGATAAAAGAAAAAGAAAATATAAAAGAACCAGAGTTTTTAGTTAAGAAAAAAAATATTTTTTAAGATAAGATTTAAATTGTAATTTTTTGCATATTCTTAATGTAAAAGGTATAAAAATAAGTTGTTTATTGTGTAGAGAAGATATGAATTTATATAGTATTGTAAAGAAAGATTTTAAAAAGCTTAGAAAATAAGTGAGATATTTAAAGATTTGTAAATTGCCAGTAAATTTTCCAAAAAACCAGTAAGTTTCCAAAATTATGTGAAAAGTTTTCAGATTTTTTAATGGGTATTTAAAATAAAAAAAGTGAATTTTCCAGGGCAAGCCAGTAAACTTTCCAAAAATGACTAATAGAATTTTAGAAAGGAGTTTAAGAGAGAGTTTAAAGAAAATTTTAATAACTTTGTAAGTTTTAGTCTGTTTTTATAAAATTTATGTTGAAATGTTCATCTCGGTAAGCTGAATATATTTAGCTTAAAAGAATATAAGCTTGACTTATTAGTTATTGAGAAATTAAGATGTATATTTTAAAGAAGAATATAAAAAATTTTTTGTAAAGATATTTAATTTTTTGTTAACATACTGTCTAAGAGCAGAAAATTGAGTAAAACAAGTTTGTTTAGGAGTTGGAATTAGATTTACTTAGTAAAATTTTAAGAAATAAAAGAAAATTCATAAAGAGTGTTAATTTTAGAAAATTGTAAAGTAGTTTTGTATAGAATTAAAAATATAGATAAATTTTATATTATCTAGGGGCAAAATTTATGTAGAAGAAGTTTATTTAGAAGCCAGAATTAGGTTATCTTAGTAAAATTTTAAGAAAAGTTAATTTGTTTGTTTAAAGTTAGATGATTTGCATCCCTATTTTTCACCTTTAAACCTACAGTATATTTTAAAAGGTTGGGAAGGTAGTTCAGTAATCTAAACAACTAGTAAGTGAAATTGTGAGATTCTGCTTCAACTAATTTGTTTGTGTTTTTATAAGTGAAAGTATTATTTTGAACTATTATTCTAAACCGTATTTTAATATTTTTTATTATAATTTATTTAGATTCGTGAATATGATATTTATAATACAATAAGTTATAGTAATGGTAGTGTTAGGTATAGGGTTCGTTTCCCTACTTCTGTTAGTGTTAAATAACAACTAGCATTAGTTAATGCTTTTCAAACACTTTTCAAACTTCCTGATGGTAAAATTTTCCATAAAAAAAGGGCGTGTCTGCCACTGCAATGGCAGATTCCAACTATGTAATTCGCAAAATACATTTTTCCTTATATTTTTAATGATCCCTTTCCCAATAATCTATTAAGTTCCATAGTAGTATCGTAACTACTGAGCCTTGTTTTATCCATTTGCCAAATCTAAAAGCCTCTTTCGATAGGTTGTCTTGGTTTTGTGGTTTGTTTGATTGGATTAGTGTATTCCAAACAAACCATTTTTCTCGCGTAACTCAAGTTATTTCATATAGATTCATGTTCCTGGTTTTGTGGCACCTACCTTATAGATAAAACAGTATTGCAAAGCATATAAAATCTTTTTTCTATTTTATTATTTGACAGACTTGGCGACTTGGTAAACACTCAATTAATTTACTTAAATTTTTTATAGATTTATTATTCTGAGATCGATACATTTTATGAAATATTAATAATTTATTTTCAAGATTGAGTTTAAATATATAAAATCATACATTTATTGGTATTAATATATAAAAATACATAGATGAAATGTAAATTATTAAGAGGAGGCCATTGGCATATGAATTACCATGAGTAATACAATGCTTAACATATGATAAATAGTAAATCTCCTAGGTAATTTTTTTTTTAGTTTAATAAAAAAAGAATTTGTTATGTGATAATGTTACGGTATAATAAAATAAAGAGTTAACATTAGATGATTTAAAACTCTTTAAATCATAAATAAATAATAAATTTGTAATAAAAAAAAATTATGAAATGAATATCACTTTTTCATCAGGGAATCCTAGCTTGCCTAGGCTTATTCTGATACTATCCATCATAGGTTGAGGTCCACAAACCATGACCCTTAATTCTTGTGAATCATCTTTTGTCAAAAGATCTATATATTCTTGTCTCTCATGCATCTTCAACCATACACTTGTTGGTGGTCGTGTATTTGTTCCTCTATTTGATATAATGGAATGCCCTCGAGTTGATGATGTATCACCAAATTCTTCATCATCAGCTGTATCTTCAAAATCAATTTCACTCGTGTAATTATTCCTATAGGATGTGCGTGATCGTGATCGTGAAACATTTGGTCTTTCTGGAATTTCTGGCGGTTGTTCAATTTTATAGTTACTACTCATCCAATGATACAATACATTATCATCTATATGTCCTACATAGCCCTCCCATGATGGTGGTGCTTTTGTCAGAACAAAATCTACTGTTAATTTTTCATTACTCTGTTCTTGAAGATACAAAAGATATTTATAACTGATAATATCTTCAATTGAATTATTTGAAAATAGTAGATGAATTTTAAATTCAGAATTTAAATATTCTGCTTGATCCAGATGATATTGGATCTATACAAAATTAATTAAATTAACAATGGCAGAATCTTTTTTATAGAAGTAGATAAATTTAAAAATCTTACCAATTGAAGTCCAGGTGTTATGCCTAAATTTATATATATAAACAACGTTAAATTTTAAAATCTAAAAGAAACGCAATAAAACCGGGTTGAAATTAAGTAATGATTAAATTGATAATCTACCTGTACCCCCGCAGATAAGGAATAGACGATCCCAACATTTGTCATCTCTTCTATGATTCATTAAAAGTCTTGGTTGTGTTGGAGAATCTTTTTCACTTTCACTTTCTGTTGCTGTTGCTGGTCGTAACCTACTGCTAACAACCGAAAGTGTACGTGTACCTTGACGTGTAGACGATCTATATCGTAAACCTGTTGGTTCAAAGTTTGGAATAATAGATGAAGTCGGTACAATTCGGTCAGAAACATCAAATGGCCCTCGAACAGCGATCTCAAAGTTTTTGAGTTGCTTATGCTAAATATTAAAATAATAATAATAATAATAATTAAATAAATAAGGATATAAGAAGTTAACAGCAACATAGAAAAACAATTTTACCAAATGTTGGGACATAACACCATCTTTATAAATCTTTACAATAATTGAAAAAGTATTTTCGGTGGGTCCTTTAAGTGCTGTATATTGTCGAACAATAGTCGCCTTGTTTGAATAGCTCATAACTTCAATATAATCACCGGGTAAAATTTTTGGTAATTTATCAAATGGATGAATGATTTGAAAAGTAAACTTTTTCACAGGATTTTCGGCATCATATCTCGTAACTTCTTCGACATTTATAAGAACGTATCTTCTAAATACAATTGCAGGAAGTTTTGGTACTTCGATTGTTTTGTTTGCTGTATATGGAATTATTCCATCAATGATTGGGTTCTCAACCTTTTCGTGCTCATAATCAATAATACGTCCTATTAAAAAAATTTAGCAAATTAATTTTTACAGTATCTCAAAATTTTTAAATAATATCTAAGAAAATATATTTAAAAGTTTTGCTTCTTACCTACGACCATTGTCGCCAATCTAGCAGTTGCAAATTTAGAATGTCTGTGCATTGCAACTCGAGTGTTTTTAAAGGTTACACTATTAATCAAATCAATTGTCCTTGCAGCAGATTTTGGAACATGGGAAACAATTCTCTTGCGCTTCAATGGAAGGTTATCATCTTGTAATGAATCTTCTGTAGGTAATGCATTTAAAAGTTCATGCTCTTTATCAAAGGTTTTAGTAATGGTCATTTGTACATTTGGATCAAAAAAGAAATCGTTGGTAATATCTGTTCCAATCTTTAAAGAATTGAATTGGTAAGTAAATAGATTATTTGTATGAATAATTTATAAAGCCTAAAATTGAAAAACCAATTTCATACCACTCTGCGTAAAATTCTTTGTCCACCAGGATGAATTCTTATCCATTTATTAATATCAAATACTAATCCTTCTGCCACGACAAGACATGCTCCAGTAAAAATTTTTTCATTAAATTCCTAATAATATATATAAATTATAATAAGAAATAATACTTTTATTTAATTGAGAGCATATATTAAATATGTTACTTACTTCCCATGTATGAGTAGGGAGTAATTCATAAATTTTTTCGGGAATTCTACTGTGAAGTCGTCTATTAGGTCCATTTATTACTCGTGTTGGCCACAAGAATTGTAGATTTTTAATTTTGTAATAAAATTCACTGACTAAAAAGATTATGGCCAAAATGACTACAAATTATAAAATTAGCAATAGTATAAAAAAATTTTTATGAATAATTTTCATAACTTTAATATATAACCAATATAGTTTTTTTTTTTAAAAAAAAAAAAACTCACCAAACCAAGCCAAGTAGAGATAGGTCACTATAGCTACATCAACATTATAATTTTGTCCGAATTGAACTATTCCAAGATACACATTAACCCTATTTTAAATTTTTTAAGTTTTAAATATATAGTTAGAATTATTTTTTAATACATAATAATTAAAGAATTTTAATAATTCATACAATGCACAGGCCATAACTGCCGCTCCCAAATAGAAATGTATATATTTTAACCAAAGTACTATCCCGGTTGCTAAAAAATTTATATGTAAATAGTAAATATATGATTAAATAGATGTATGAAGGATATTAAATTTCAATTATATTTATTTACCTGCAGATTCAACATAGGCCAATCCAAACATTGCCAATATTCCAAGTCCAACTTGAGCAACTAAAGTTGTATAAACTGTGGAACCAAGTCTAAATACAATTTAAAAAGATTAAAATTATAAACATAATTTTACTGTACGTATTTTCAAGGCAAAGTCTAACTGTTTATATAATCACGTGAAACAATGCGTACATTCCATGAGGAACTCTAAATTGGATTGTAACTGAAGACATCGCTACAGCTCCAAATATTCCAACACAAATAGCGCCAAGGATTTGAAGGTTACGATGCTGTTAATAATTATTAATAATAAAAAGAATACTTATGTGAGCTTTATAAGCCATATTTTTTTCTGAATATACATTAATAAGCATACCTCAAACATATATGTATCCCTATGTCTCATATACCTAACAATCCATATTGATACTAAATTTGTTGTAGAAAAAAAACACAATATTTAAATTATTATTTTATGTTAAATAACATAAAACTAATTTATCAGAAACTATTTCATGAAATACCTGGGAATAAGATACTATGAAAAATAATATGTAAATGTAAGAATTTATAAATGACTATTAACAATTTAAAATCTGAATAAATATAATACAATTCACGTACCACCAAATTGAAAACATTCCAATTCCGTGGGTCAATTGCATATTTCTACTATCCACAACATTAGTACCAACAGGAGAACTTTGTCCTGTAATGTAATTGACTAGCATGAGACCTCGATTTCCACCATGGTAATTTAGTTGATAGCTGTTTGGATTAAAAGCAAAGATTGCTATAGAGGAATTTCATAAATAAAGTGTCTCATTTTCTCAAAAAAATAACGCATAATATAAAATACAGTAAATAACTAAAATATCATACTTTTTATCGAGGAAGCAGTAATTGGTTGTCGATTAGGTGCACTAAGGGGACGTTTAAATTCCACTTGAGTGTATCCGCCAATAAAAGTTTTATTTGTAACAGTAAGGAATTTGGCACTATAGTCTTCAGTAGGACGTTGGTAAGTAACAGAATTGTAAACTCCAACGTCTATGCCTGATGAATTGACTGATATGATTGTCATATCAGCGTTCTATGAATAAATATATTCATTGGGTTTTTATTAATACAAGTCACAATAGTTTGGACGAAATTAAATGAAAAGATTTTTTTAAAAATATACCGTCATGCCATTATCTGTAGGGTTGAAACCAATACCACACCAGCCGTTCGAACTTTGAAATGTTATTAAAAAATAAATATCAGAACCATCAATTCTCCATTGAGCTTGATATGTATTGGAAAATTTTAAAACGTTAAATTGAGGATAAGCACTATCGGTGGTGGTGACATTTGGAACAGCAGCAGGTTGAACTATCCATATATTTGATGGCAAATTTGCAGTGGCTGGTATATTTCGACTAATCACCATTGCTAATGTTGTATTATGAATTAAATCTATTTCATCTTGAGTAAATCCAGCATCCTTGGATTCATACCTATCATTGGTATTATAATATAATTTTTAAAATTATTAATTTTTGATCAATTACCAATTATTTAATAATTAATTTAACAACTAATTTAACAATTAATTAACAACTAACCAAAATCTATCAAAGTCACGTATCTTTGTAAACTGAATATTAATAAAATTTATATGATTATTCAATGTATAATACAATATTTCGTCTCAATATAGCAATACAGTATAAAATTAATTCAAATCACCTGATCCGCATAGCTAGCAAAAAATAATGGACCAAGATTTGAACCATTAACATGATCCTCAGCAAGACCTCCTGGAAAAGCCTCAACTAGATCAACAGAACCATATGTATTTTGTAAGCGTTGTTGAGTAACTGGATCTGACGAAATATCAGACCAAGTTTTAGCTCGACTTAAATTGAAGACTTCTCTAGCATCGTTATATAATAGGATCCCGTGATCTCGAGCTCTAAAAACATCGATACTAATATCGAAAATACAAATAATTTTTATATATTTGTAACCAATTCATTAAATTAAAATTTTTGATTATTCACCTTGCTAAATCCAAGAGGTCAGTTTTGTACATGAAATATCGCATTTGATCACAAAGATATATATCAACTTCATCTTGCCTATAAATATAATGAATAAGCAATTAATAAATGGTTTAAGATGATGGATGTCAAATTTATTTATAACAACAAACGGAATATAAGAAATTACACTTCAAGAGCAATCGATGACGCAAGCGCCGGAACACCATAAGTCTCACTATAAAAATATATGACATTAAGAATTTAATAATTTAACATAAAAATAAAAGATGCAATATGTTTATTTACAGTAAGAAAGGTTCTTGAAGTTGGTTTAATTTCAAAGTAGTGGTCACGTAACCATTATTATCGACAATACGGTATTCATCACTTTATAGTAAAATAGAAAATATATTAATATTTATAATTCTTTAAATTGAGAGAATTGCTAAAATGATAATTACCTAACTTCACTATGGCCGTATCGCATTGACGTCTAAGTTTTATAACATTAAACAATCATTTAAATTATACATTCATAATAAATAAATTTTTATTACTCTTTACATTAAAAAAACTCTTACTGTGACAAAGAATGTGTCAATAACTGGTTTTAGGCTCGCATTATAGCCCGTATAAGGTGGGAGCGGAGTACCCAAGAGAATACCAACTGAACCGACACAAGGTTAGATACAGTAAAATGTTAAGAGGGTTTACATTTATAATTTAATTAATTTAATTTATACTTGCCATATTCATAAAAAGTTATCTTTTGTATAAGTGCAATAACCCATTTTCGTGCCTCTTGAAAGTATTTTTCATCGTCCCAATTGGCATGATTAATCGCATATAATTCATCACATCTTCGGTTGTGCTCACGTAGGAAAACAGTGTATAACATATCTATAAGTAAAAATATTATTTATATATTTAAAAAATAATATAAAATTTATTAAATTTTATAAGATAAATTTACTTACCAGTAAAAGCATCTCTACTTTTGTTTGGAGTATATCTATTTATTATTTTAATAATTATTTCGATTAATAATTTCGATTAATAATTGTGATTATTTCATGACAATTAATTATTTTTTCAATTTTTACTATACCCCAAAACATAATCGAAGCCGGCTGGATCCTATATTTTTTAAATATTTTATTAAAAACATTATTTCTTACAATATCGGCACATTTTTAGAAAAAAGCAGCCTACTCGTGGTGGATAACCAAAGGCGTAATCATCTGATATTCCGTTTTTGTTAAGTATCATTTTTCCTTTGTTTCCGTAATCACGAATCATTTGAAGCTTCCAATCCACAACTCCATAAATGTGTGACGCATCAAGAAAAGGTGTGCCTTGATTTACTCCTAAATAATTCGCTCCCGATGAACGATTGACTGCTAGACTTGGCTATATGGTAACATTGAGATAAATCAGGTGTAAATTGGATTTTAGGTCCGTTAATCATTATTAACAGGATTTTTCAATTAATATCTTACTTGAGTAATTGTAAGATTTGGACCAAGAAAAGTATTAAACTGCGACTGATAAGTATTATCATCTGCAGGAATATAGATTGACTCATTTGGACCCGTAGGGCTTAATGCATTGGTAACCTAATTAAGAATAATTCAAATTAATTTTCTAATTATATATATTAAAAACAATAATTTAGAAAAAAGTAATATGAACTGACATCCATCTTAATAAATGCACCCCTAAAAGTATCATCTGTTGTTAATATTTATGAAAAATAAAATAATTTCATTCTGATGTTAGACTCACCAAAAGGTTACCTGAGTTTAAAGAATAGTTAATATAAAAATATATGATTGATTGACCAAAGATTTTTTTTAAGGTTTACCATATGAGAAGCTCTTCTTTTCGATTTATAATGGTTCAAGAGTGTCAAATTATAAGAATCTTGGGGTTTCAATTGGAAAGCATGAAGCTTGTTGCTAACACATCTAGGCAATGGAAAAGTGCCAGGTGGTACGGAATCGGCACAGTTTATGGGTGTAGTAGGAACAGCATAATTTCCAGGAGTAGATATCATAGCAAACGTTGAATTATTAGCATAATAGAATTGTGTCATTTTATCACGCACAAATGGCATATTTGCTACTCCTAAATTATTCTTATCATTATTAGTCCCATTTAGAGATCTATATTCACCCAAAACTACATTTTTGAGAGCATAAATGTAAATTAATGCGAGAGTTAACTTTATAATGTATGCAGCAACCATATCGCTATTTTACCGAAACTAAAGAAGAATCGGTTCAGAAAAATTTTTAATATGGAAAATCCAAATTAAATATTTATGTGAATATTTGACTTATGTAGTACTAAGAATTTCTTTAATTTAACACTAAAGTTATACATAACCCATCAATGTATGAACGTCCAATTTTGGCAATTCGGCTTTAAGACTTTAAACAATTTGGCCAAATTTTAACCTAAAAAATATAAGCATACAAACATCATACAACAAACAAACAACAATCTCAAATGCTTGTACATAGATGTATTGTACATGGAATTTATTATTGTGTACATCACATTAATTTTTGTGAAAAAAACTTGCCCGAATTAGTACAACTATTTATCACTATGTTGAATACATTCGGAGAACTCAACAAAATTTTTAGCGAGCAAAATAATAAATGTCTTTTTTTTTTCTTACGCCCTTAAGTTGAATGTATAAATGATTGGAATATATTATGATTATTATTTTTATTAAATAAAAAATAATTCTATTAAATTGACTTTATTTTATAATATTTACACTATATATAATTCTATAAATTGACAAGTACTGTATGACATAAATGTTAATTCTAAATTTGTATTACTGTAACGGTAATAGAAAAAAATTCAATTTAATCGTGGACACTGTCAAAATTTCCTATAAACCTATCCCATAATATGGTTGATATCGGTAAATTGAACTATAATATATATCGAATCATAATGTTACACGACTGATCCTTCACCCGGTGTACAACATGATTATAATCCCACGCCATTTTATTATAATAAAAATGGAATGATCTGGTATTGTAAAACATTTTTGTATATGTTGCACACCGGGTGAAGGTACAGTCGTGTAACAGTGCCTCTTTAGGGTGTTCAATAAACTAATTGATCAAAACTTAGTTAGGGTCATATATAATGATTATTAATTTCGGATTTTTTAAAGGGTTATTTCACATATAAATTTATATATGAATTTGTACTAATTTAGGTACATTTTCTACACAACCAACAAACAAAATTGTATATGTTTTTTTTTTAAAACTGTAGTTCTAGACTAGCTCTACACTGTAATAGAACCAGTTTTTTAAAATAACTTTTAATAAAATTTTGGATTAATTTTTATTAATAATTAACTTAGGTTATTAAAAACGGTTCTGTTACAGTGTAGAGCTAGTCTAGAACTACAGTTTTAAAAAAAATATGGTACAATTTTGTCTGTTAGTTGTGTAGAAAAATGTACCTAAATTCGTACAAATTCATATATAAATTTATACGTGAAATAACCCTTTAAAAAATCAGAACTTATGACCCTAACTATGTTTTGATTAATTGGTTTATTGAACACCCTAGTACCTCCTGTTATAATAAATTTAAAATTCTTACTAATTCTAAATTTCTTTTTTCTAACCTGATAAGGCAATTTACTAAATTCAGAAATTTAAATGAATATACAAACCGGTTTATTGACTTCTTGAAAATCGCAACCCGGTTATATATATAACGATAAGTACATTGTTTATTTATTTAATTGGATGAAATTAATAATCGTTAATAAAATAATTAAATAATTTATCAAACAAATTCGAATGTGAAATTTGACTTCATTTTTTTGCCAAAAATTAAAAATTTGCATAAATATACAAAATGTCAACAAAAATAATTTTGACGATATATTGGATACCAATCTTGACTTCTTTCAAGCTAGGCTTAATAACTTTTCAGTACTGCTGCACGAATACTAATATACCGAGCAAATAATCATCGAAATAAAAATAGTGTTTGACTAATATTTTTCTAAATTTGTCATAATCGAGTTTTCCTCCGTCTGATAGTAACACGATTAGCATTTATAACTGTTATTTTAATCGTTCCAACTAGTTCTATCTGTGTTACAAATATCAGAAACAAGATTGTTGTTTGGTGTTACTAAGATAACGCTAGGTAAATTGTTCCATAGATTTTAGACTGGACTGGTATATCATTTATTATTATAGTAATTAGTTTCCTTATATATATATTTATATTTATCATTATTTGTTTAGCCCTATTTATTTTTTGTGCAAGGGTAAATCTTTAAACTGAAATGGCGTAATCCTAATATACTTGTTCATTTTTCGATCGTCGATCCACATTCTTCCTTATACGTAACGGTAAGGTTTAATAGTTAAGGTGTGTTAGAATTAGGGTTATATTCGGAAATTTTTTTTGAGGACATAATTTGATAATTTTATGTTCTTATAACCATTTTAATGTTCTTAATGGGTATCCATTTACTGTACTAAATTTAGTACAACGTACTAAATTTAAAGGTTAAATTTTAAAAAATTTTTATTATTAACTTTAAATTAAATTTATCTAACATATAATACTATATTTATATTTTATTTTAGTATATTTAAAAATTATTTAACTTATCAAAAAAAATTATATTAATAAGTTCAAATTTAATAAAAATGACTTAAAAATAATTAAAAATTTACTAAATTATAAATAATAAAAATTCTATTTGAATAAAATCTTTTAAAATATTAGTAGAAGTTATAAACCTAGTTTTTCTGATACTAATAATAATCTATATATTAAAGTGGAATGTCTGTCTGGTAACACCAGCCAATCAGAGAGCTTCATTTTAATGATCTTCAAAATTACCAATCACATTACAGAATTAATAACATGTGATCAATGTAGAAATGTTTGGTTTTTGGATGTTCAAAAATTCTCAAATTATCCCAAATATTCTAATAACAATTGAATATTCTTTGCTTCAAGCTACAGATCTACAATGTAAACTAGTACATAAAAGTAAACAGTCTTGGGTAATAATGAATAATTATAGTTGGTCATTAATAAAGAAGAAATCAGTGCTAAAAAAATGAATACAGAGTTTGAATATCATCAAAAACTAGGATTCAGGACACAGCAAAGATGAGCATGCTTACTAGGGCATGCCTATGGGCATGTGTAGCATGCCCATTAGCTAAAAAGTATGCCCTAATATAGTATGCCCATAGGCATGCCTATAGACATGCTTATAAATAATATTTGATATGAAGAGAGTATTTAAACTAGATAAATATTATAAAATAATAAAATTTTAACACCAGTCTTTTATAATAGTTTAAAATATAGTGCTATATATAATCTAAATTTAATATATCAAAGTAAAAAAATATAGTGTTATTTATTAGCAAGCAATTAATCTTTTAATTTAAACATTGTCTTAAATATACCAACTATTAATATATTTTTATATCTATAGATTTTTTTTACAGATAATAATTATGATGACACTCAAGTATATAGTTAATGATGATATTTATATAATTAAATACTTAAGCATACTTTTCTGTTTTTTTATAATATTTTGCAATACTATCTAAAAAAACCCAATGAAAAAATTCATTTTGATCAATTATTAAAGTTTTTACTTTAATTATATTGGCTTCTTACCTTTTAATAATTTTAACAATTTAAATTTCTTAATTATCTGTCAATTAAGAAAAAAAGATCTACTTAAATCTTTCAGTTTTAGATCTTCTTTACTAGGAAAATTTGGAATAATAGTATTCATTATAGTTTTGTTAAATATTAAAAGATTGTTGTATTTATTATACTCATATTAATATATCAATTATTTGTTTTAAAATCTTTAACTATTAAAAAATAAAGTGATTTTCTTTTTAGACCAGTTAAAGTTTGTTGGGAATTAATTGTTTATTATATTTGATATGTAAAAAATATAAAAGCAATACTTAAGTAACCTTTATTAATAAATTTTTTTTAAAAAAAATAACTTATATCTTGCTGATTTGTTTATCAAAATAGTAACTTGCTTGGTAAATTTGTTCAATTTTTGACTAATT